TTAGCATTTACACATACAGTGTAAATATGCTATAATTATGTACAATCTAATTTGTTTTCTTTTCAATAACGAGACAACCATATGTTTTCCGAACATAGTTCTGTTACCAATTGGTGTGTACTTTGGAGTCAAGGTAGAAAAATATTAATACTCCTCTCAAGACTAGCATAAGTTTGTGCAATGTGAGTGTTTTGATCATAGGATGTTTGAAACTAGGCTTTCCTAAAATTCATTTGAATTACATGTAATCACCCTTTTTTTTTTATTAAAGATTCTTATTCCTATTATTTTCCTAAAAATCGAAAATCACGATTGGGAAGTTTTATAACTGTGTTCAATATTAAGTATGATTTTTTGTGTAGTATTGTTTTTTAATATGAAATATTTATTTACCATCTGTAATTAATCAGAAACCTGTGGTTCTTTATATCTTGTAGATATCTCTCCTAAAAGTGTGATCCAGGAATCACCCCCAATAGGGAACAGCTATACAGGAGAAATATTCCACACAGTAACATTGGAAAGGCATGAAAGCCATGACATTGAAGATTTTTGCTTCAGGGAAATTCAGAAAAATATACATGACTTTGAGTGTCAGTGGAAGGATGATGAAAGAAATTACAACACAGAGCCCGTGACCCAAAAAGAAAATCTTACTAGTAGAAGAGGCCAACATAATAAAAGGGATGCAGGAAATAAGCCTATTAAAAATCAGCTTAGATTATGCTTTCGGGCACTTCCACCTAAACTGCAGCTGTTTCAAGTTGATGGGAATATTTATGGCTGTAATCAAGTTGAGAAGTCTATCAATAATGGTTCCTTAGCTTCGCTACCACAAAGAACTCCTTCTAATATTAAAACCCATGTTCTTAAAAAATATGGGACTGATTTCATCAATCCTTCATTACTTACACAAGAACAGAAATCATGCATTAGGGAAAAACCTTACAAATGTAATGAGTGTGGCAAAGCCTTTAATCACAGTTCACACCTCATGGTACATAAGTTAATCCATTCCAGAGAGAAACAATATAAATGTGATATCTGTGGCAAAGTCTTTAGTCAAAAATCAAACCTTGCACGTCATCAGAGGGTTCATACTGGAGAGAAACCATACAAATGTAATGAATGTGACAAGGTTTTCAGTCGCAATTCATGCCTGGCACTACATCGAAGAATTCATACTGGAGAGAAACCTTACAAATGTAATGAGTGTGGCAAAGTTTTCAGTCGCAATTCATGCCTTGTGCTACATCAGAGGATTCATATTGGAGAGAAACCTTATAAGTGTAATGAGTGTGGCAAAGCCTTTAGTGTGCGGTCAACACTTATGAACCATATGGTAATCCACAGTGGAGAGAAACCCTACAAATGTAA